GGGGCACCGCGAGGGGAAGCGGAGCAGGGCCCGTGGTGTTCGCAGCAGCAGCACCTGATCCCGGTGGCGCCGGGACTGCGGCCAGAGGGCTCCCCACCTAGTCGGTTCCCACCCCAAGCACCGAAACCCACGAGCAGCGCCTGCGACCGAGATTCGCTTTCAGACCTGTGCACGGGGTTATTTTTTATACGTAGTTTGAGGCGCAAGGACTGTGCACTTACAAGCAATTCAGGGTATTGTTCAGATCTTTCTAGAAGGTGACCATCTCCCCGAGGAGAAAGAACCCCCGTCAGGCTGCAGGTGCGGGTCACAGTGGGCCGAGTCCAGCTGGAAGCAGGACCGCTGAGGCTGGGTCCGGAAAGGCTGCCCACGAGCCCTGTGAACGCACGGTCGCCTTATCCCGTCTGGCCTCATGTCCTCACCATGCAAATTTTAAAGCAGTGCTTGGTGCATGGTGAGCAGAGGTTGGTATCTGATCTTAGTACTTTTCTTTATCAAATGTGGTTTTGTATTTGGAACACACTGCAGGAAGCATATTTTTGAATATATTTTTATTGATTTCAGAGAGGAAGGGAGAGAGAGAGATAAAAACATCAATGATGAGAGAGAATCCTTGATCGGCTGCCTCCTGCACACCCCCTATCGGGGATCTAGCCCACACCCTGAGCATGTGCCCTGACTGTGCTAGGGGCAGGGGCCTGGCAAAGAAGAATCACTGAGTAGGCTGAGGGGCAGGGACCATGGGAGATAAAAATTGCTAATTATCTCGCTAGAAAAGCAATGTGTTACGACAGTGGCCGGGGTCCCTGGAAGATGCGGCTTTAGGCTGCACTGAATTTGTCTGTCTGGTGTTTGTTTGTCTTAGTGTTTGTTGTCTTGGTGTTTGTCAAAATGGGGCAGTCGTCGTCTGCTTCTGTGTGCTCCCCGCTGCAATGTTTTCTTAAGAATTTTCAGGACTTCAAGAAGAGAGCCAGAGACTACGGATATGATGTTAACGCTTTTGATTTGCAGAGATTCTGTGAACGGGAGTGGCCCACTTTCCAGGTGGGATGGCCGGACGTAGGGACTTTTGATTTAACCACTGCTTATCGGGTTCACCATGTTGTCTACGGCCGGCCGGGTCACCCCGACCAAATTCCCTATATTCAAGTGTGGGTCGATATTTTGGCTGAAAAACCAAGGTGGTTAAAGAGTTGTCAGAATAAGAAAAAGAAATTGGGCCAGAGACAGACAGTCCTTTTGGCTTCGGACCAGAAGGGCAAAACTCCCCCTGTTCTGCAGGGTCCGGGTGAGGAGGCACTCCCCAGGGTCAGGCCGCCTCCCTATGTTCCCCCGGCGCCGGATCCAGGTGAGCCCAGGCCTCAGGCCCAGGCCGCTCTTGACCCGGAGCCCCTGCCTCCCCCGATGCCGATTGTCTTCCCTCCGGACCCACCGGCGGGAGGGGCTTTGTCGTCCTCCAACCCCTTCAGTCCGTCCCATGCTGGACAGGGAACGGAATATGTAGCTTCCGGGGGTGTTGGGCCGCCGGCCCCAGCGCTTCTCCTGCCCTTGAGGCAGGCTGGGCCACCGGATCTGGGCCTGGACAGCCAGCCTTTCATGATTTATGTCCCTTTTTCAACTAGTGACCTGTACAATTGGAAGAACCAGAATCCTTCTTTCTCCCAGAACCCATAGGGGTTAATCTGTCTTTTGAGAGTTGTCAGAATAAGAAAAAGAAATTGGGCCAGAGACAGACAGTCCTTTTGGCTTCGGACCAGAAGGGCAAAACTCCCCCTGTTCTGCAGGGTCCGGGTGAGGAGGCACTCCCCAGGGTCAGGCCGCCTCCCTATGTTCCCCCGGCGCCGGATCCAGGTGAGCCCAGGCCTCAGGCCCAGGCCGCTCTTGACCCGGAGCCCCTGCCTCCCCCGATGCCGATTGTCTTCCCTCCGGACCCACCGGCGGGAGGGGCTTTGTCGTCCTCCAACCCCTTCAGTCCGTCCCATGCTGGACAGGGAACGGAATATGTAGCTTCCGGGGGTGTTGGGCTGCCGGCCCCAGCGCTTCTCCTGCCCTTGAGGCAGGCTGGGCCACCGGATCTGGGCCTGGACAGCCAGCCTTTCATGATTTATGTCCCTTTTTCAACTAGTGACCTGTACAATTGGAAGAACCAGAATCCTTCTTTCTCCCAGAACCCATAGGGGTTAATCTGTCTTTTGGGGTCTGTGTTTTTTACCCATCAACCTACCTGGGATGATTGTTAGCAGTTATTGCAAACCCTTTTCACTTCAGAAGAGAGAGGGTCAAGGCGGAAGGGAGGAGATTTGTACTGGGTCCGGATGGGCAGCCTACATCTGACCAAGACAGATTAGAGGCTGTGTTTCCCTCCAGGTGGCCCAACTGGAACCCCAATAGTGAGAGGGGAAAGGAGGCTCTCGATCGGTATCGCCAGACTCTATTGGGGGGCATCCGAGCTGCTGCTCAGAGACCCACAAACCTCTCTAAGGTGACAGAGACAGTCCAGGGGCCTAATGAGAGCCCGGCAGCTTTCCTTGAGAGGCTGTGCGAGGCCTATCGGGTGTATACCCCCATTGACCCTGATGCCCCGGAAAGTCGGAGGGCTGTCATTGCTGCATTTGTTTCCCAGTCGGCCCCAGATATTCGGAAAAAATTGCAGAAGTTAGAGGGCTTTGAGGGGAAATCAATCTCTGAGTTGGTTGAGGTGGCCCAGAAGGTTTTTAACAATCGGGAGGACCCGAAAGCATACCGACTGTCCGTGAAAATGTTCACTCTTTTTCCTTTTCCCCACCGGAGGGCCTGAGTGAGTCACCAAGACCTCCGGTGACTCTGCTCCAATATGTAGACGATGTCCTACTGGCCACGAAGGAGGAACAGGACTGTAGACAGGCCACTCGAGAGTTGCTGACCACCCTAGATCAATTGGGGTATCGGGTCTCAGCCAAGAAAGCTCAGCTATGCACTACCCGAGTGACATATTTGGGTTACAACATAGAAGGTGGTAGGCGAACTTTATCCAGCAGCAGAATAAAGGCCATCTTGTCGATCCCCAGGCCTACCACCAAAAGGCAAGTCCGGGAGTTCCTCAGGGCAGTGGGTTGTTGCAGGCTATGGATCCTAGGTTTTGCAGAAATTGCAAAACCACTATACTCTGCAACGGGGGGAAAGGAGCCTGCCCTGGTCTGGACGGAAAAGGAGGAAGAAGCCCTGGTAAGCGCCCTGGCACTCGCCCTGCCAGACCTAATCAAACCCTTCCAGCTATATGTAGCTGAAAACAAAGGGGTGGCGAAAGGGGTCCTCACACAATCCCTAGGACCATGGAAACGCCCCGTTGCTTATCTCTCTAAGAGACTTGACCCGGTGGCCTCGGGATGGCCCAACTGCTTGAGAGCCATTGCAGCCACTGCCCTGCTGGTAAAGGAAGCTTCAAAGCTAACCTTTGGCCAAAATCTCCAAGTAGTTGCCCCGCATGCAGTTGAGACCTTATTAAG